GGGTTGATCTCAATTCCCCGCTAGTTAACCATGTACCCTAGGAATTTTCCCGAGGATACTCCGAACGAATATTTGAGGGGGTTCAACTTCATTCGGTACTATTGGAGGATGCCAAACATCTCAGCGAGATGTGCTACATGGTCCGGAGTGACATGGGACTTCACCAGCATGTCGTCTACGTAGACCTTCATCGATCTACCTATCTGTTCGGAGAACATCCGGTTAACCAGTCGCTGGTAAGTTGCACCAGCGTTCTTGAGGCCGAAGGGCATAACTTTGTAGCAGTACAGTCCCCGATCTGTAATAAAAGATGTATGCTCTTCATCTGGCCCGTACATCAGAATTTGATTGTATCCCGAGTACACATTCATAAAACTTAGCAGCTCGTACCCCGAGGTGGCGTCCACGAGCTGGTCAATTCTTGGCAGGGGAAACTATCTTTTGGACAAGCCTTGTTGAGATCGGTGAAGTTGACGCAAGTCTGCCATTTGCCGTTAGGCTTTTTTACTAGAACTAGGTTGGCAACCCAGGTCAGATAGAGTGCTTCTCGGATGGACCCATTTCAGAGGAGGTTATCCACCTCAAGCTTTAAGGCAGCATATCGCTCCGAGTTCATCACTCTCCTCTTTTGGCGAACTGGCATGGCTTCACTATCGATGTTTAATACATGGCAAATAATATTCGGGCTAATCCCGGCCATATCTACGTGCGACCATGCAAACACATCGATGTTTTCCCTGAGGAAGTTGGTCAGGTCAGTAGCAAGCTGGGGATTGAGATTTTCACTGATCCTTAGCACCCTACTTGGTTCGGTCTGGTTGACCAGCACTTCAGTCAGGTCCTCAACTGGCCCACTGGAAGAGCAGTCCTAAATATGAGGATCTATATTATCCTCGGCTGGGCCAGGCTGTGGCTCTATCCGGCTGATCGCTATTGTCTCTGAACTGCTTTCACGTAGCAGTCCCAAGCTGCGCGCTGAGACCCGCTAACTTCTCCAATCCCCGTCGGGGTGGGGAACTTCATTTTCAAATATATACTGAAGTGACCGCCTTGAAGTGTCTCAGCAGAGGTCGCCCCAGAATTCTATTAAAGGCGGATGGGCAATCCACTACTAAGAACTCAATTACTCTGGTCACTTCGTCGAAAGTGAGATCGTGCCCTTGGGAAGCAGGTGGTCCCTTGTGAAGCCATATAGAGGGAACGAGGCAGGTTTCAAGTCTGCCTCGTCCAAATTCATTCTTTCAAAAGTTAAAGCGAACAGGATGTTCACAGCACTTCCGTTATCCACTAACATCCTCTGGACATTGTGGCGCCCTATGAGGGGCGTTATCACAAGGGCATCTTCGTGAGGATAATGCAGCCAGGCCGCATCTTTTTCAGAGAAGGAAATTTCCTCCTCTCGGTGAACCTTCTGTGGTCACTGCGCCACACTCATCGCTCTGATGGGCTCGTGATGTGCCTCGCGGGCATACCTTTCTTGGGCACCTCGCGAGTTTCCCGCGAAGTGCGGTCCCCCAAAAATTAAATTAAGGGTGCACACTCCTTTCTGATCGCAACGCTTCTTACTTGCCTCCCCCTGATTTTTCTCTTGTGAGGGAGCAGAGTCATCAATATACTCCTTGAAATGTCCCTACTTGATAAGGTTTTCAATCGCCTACTTGAGAGCTCGACATTCATCAATATGGTGCCCATTGTCCCGATGATAGAGACAATATTTTTTATTATTTCTGGCTGTCGCTGGAGTTTTCATGGGCTCGGGCTCTCCGAGCAGGCTAGCCTCCTCGGATTTATCGAGAATAGCTAATACAGATGTGTTTAGTGGAGTATATTGGTTTCTGTCGCGATCGCGACGAGGGACGGGGGCATAGGACTTTTTGGGCTCGTAACGAGGTTTCTTCCCTCTTCGCTGATCGTCTACGTCCCCCCTATGATCAGCCCTTCTACTATCCCGCTGACCAGGTGCACTACCCAAAGCGTCGTGGTCGCGACGGCGGAGTGCCGCCATTGAATTTTCTATTCGGAGGTACTTCTCTACAAGATTATAGAATCCAGTGAGGGAAACATCGTCCTTAGCCTGTAATTCTTTCCACAGGTCGGTCTGTGGACGGACTCTGGCTATGATGAGAGTCCGAACAGACTCTTCAGGAATATGAGCCACCTTGTTGAGTTCTCTGTAAAAACGGTCAATGTAGGACTGGAGGGATTCATCCGTTTCGTGCCTTATATTGCTAAGGTAGCTCAAAGGCATCGAGAACTTCCGATTTGCTTGAAAATGCCTTAGGAACGTCGCGCTCATCTGAGGCCACGAACTGATCGATCCCGCTGGGAGTGACCTGAACCACCGTTTGGCATGGGAGGTCAAAGTCACTACCAAACAACGGCATTTTGCTAGATCTGAGACTTGGTGAAGCTCCATCAGGTCGTTAAATTCATACAAATGATCCTGCGGATCAGAGTTTCCATCAAACATTTTGGTAGAGAAGGAGGACGCAGATGCGACCAGCCCCTGCTCATTTTGCTGAGCTCGTAGTCTGTCTAGAGCTCGCTGCAACTCCTCAATTTGCGGTAATGAAGCTGCTTGGGGATTGCTTTCACCCATGCGAGTTCGACCCTCGTGATTACGGTTGAGGAAAGTCCAGAGGTCCAGTTCCTTTTCACCTCGACCAGCGGTTCCGGCCACTCTTGACACACACCGGCTAGAGGCGTGTGATGGCGAATAAGGGTGCGGGGTATTTTCATGACCTTCGCGGTGGTAAGAACCGCCCCACGAAGTATGGGACCCTTTCGCACGGTGGCGATTAGGATAGTTTTGCTGGTGGTGATAGGAATAGCCCCGACCAGCACTTTTATGGGTGTGCTCTTGCGACGTTGCATGGGACAGCTCGGGCTGTGTCCTTTCACCGAGTCTCAACGAGACTGGTATTCTGCTCGGGACGTGGTAAGAATTTGCTGGCCCTTTGGAGCCCGTGGGCTTGCTTTTTGCCACTTGTTTACCTTTTCCTCTACACGCTGCAGTGCTTGCGGCATGGACTATTTCCCTTTGTCGCGTTTTCACGCGACCTGCAAGCGTTTTTGGCGGTTGCACCGCTATAGCTGACTTGGATGGCATGCCTTGGTCCAAACAATCCAGCCTTCGGTTGACCGTCTGAAGAGTATTGTCAAACTTTCCAGGTAGCTTCTAATAACAGGGTCAAGCTGTGAACTTGACGGGATATCTCCTACAGCATTTTGCAGGGCTAAAGGTTTTCTGGAAGAGGTGTCCCCCTGAACTTGGGGGAGCCCCTCAGCGCCCTGGTTGGTTTGCTCAGGTTCTGGTTGGTGGGTCATTTGTTACTGTACGACTGGTAGGTTGGAGATTCTCCTGATGAAGGATGAACACTAAACCAGGCCCTTCCTCTAGCTCTAAACTGTTGATGTGTGATTTTGACACCAACAAAACGCACATGTGAAATGTTGGGTTGGCCCAAAAGACACACGTGAATGGAGAGGAAAATGACACTAAATGCAGTGAGAAAGGAGTTTTAAAGTGGTTCGGATGCTAAGGAAGCAAATCCTACGTCCACTGATGTTTTTATTAATGATAATGGTCAGGTCACTTTAGACGACTGACTTTACACTAATGATACAAGGTATCGAAGACTGTCTTTTCTAGAGAGAAAGAGAGAGTTTTGTCAAGAGTAAAATGTGCGAATCCCTTTAATGAGAGAGGAGCTCCCATTTTATAGTGGGATGCCTTGAGGTAATGATCACTGAATCTGTAAGTTGGTGGGATGATCCGTGCAAATCCTTCTTTTAGAGTAATTCACGTGATTTGCTACAGGGATTGGACATGCAGGATCATCACAACTCCTTGTTGACCTGGCGTGCACCCATTATTCTGACGGAAGCAAGCTGTGGGGTGCAACCATGATCACACGACGCAGCTGCGCCAGAATGGCAGAAGACTCTTCCCGAGATCTGACCTTTCGCACTTAACTGGGCACCACGTCAACCCTATGTTCCCAGGCATAACAGATTTTCTCTTCAAAGATTTCCTTCTAGTTTTCACTTGATGATAAAGAATTCTTCTCTGTAAAGTTGAGATTTTTATTTACGTAAATATCACTAAATTTTGAGTTGATTATGAGGAATTCTTCTTTGTAATTTTACTTCTTGATTATGATGAGTATTGATGGAGCAAATTTACGTATGAGATTTAACAAGGGTTTAAGAGAATCCATACTTCAGAAAATCAGAAAATCAGAGAGCAAAAGCTACCAGCTGATTCAAAGGAACTTCATACATATCTTGGCAACGGCTACCATTTACTTTTTATACAGCCAGACGAGACAAAAAACACTTGATTGACATTTAATAACAGCATGAGGAAAATCAGCTCTGGATTTGTTATATGCTTGATGTAAAACATAACCAAACAAACCGTAACAAGTCTGAGTATGCAGCAAACTGTACACCAAGTCTAGAATAAATAATTCTCAGGCTTGTCATACAAGAAAAATATTGATAAAAGAATAATAAAACAATCAACTCTACCAAGTCTCATGTTCTCAAAATTTATAGCCATGATTATTTCCTTAGATTTGCCAAGACATCCTTGAGCTATCACAAAAATCCATCATCAGCATTTGGGCACCTCACCAAATTAGCCCCATTTTCGATGATCAGGGTTCAGATCAGCGTGGTGGGTTACGAGAAGATGACCAACTTTGTCTCGAGCTACCACCACTACGCCACCTATCACTAGCTGGGGCCGCATGATCATCTGGCCTGCCATTGCCATTGCTACCCCACCGATCAGATTCTGATACAGGGGCAGAGCCTTCGGTTCTCCTGCCCCATCGATCGGATTCTGTTGGGGCCTGACACCACACCAATCAGGTTGAGTAGGTGGTGATTGCCCTGAACCCTCAGTTCTCTCACGCACGAATCTGGGAACATATTTTCCAGCAGATGGCGCAGCAGCAGCAGGAGCAGCAGTTCCAGGCTCCGATGCACGGGCAGGAAGCTCAAAAGGCTTGGAGGGCACATCAGCTGGTCTCCCCAAGAGAGCTTCTCTTCTCAGCCTTTCCTTATCTTCCAATTCCCGCTCTCTTTGCCTCTGATTTTCAGCAATCTCGTCTAATTTTGCCTTGCGTTCGGCTTCTTCTTTTCTTCGTCTCTCAGCCTCTGCATGTCAGAGAAGGAACCATTGGCTCACAAAATTAAAATTATAAAATCTATAAGAACATTAAATTATTTGTAAAAATATTTACCTTCCCACTTACGAGCTCCTTCCTCCTCACGTAGCTTTTTCATTCTTTCATCTTCACACCTAGCATAGTATATTTTCTTTCTCATTACCTCCCTCTCCTGTTTGCGTGCCTGAATAATTTGGTTGATTCTTTCCTCCCTCTCTACTCTGCGCCTGTCAAACTCTGCTTTACAACGGTTCAATACTCTTCCTGGAATTTTTCCTGAGAAAGAAGATAAGGCAAATTTTGTTTCAGTGGCAAGCCTAACCCCAGCCTCACAAACTGTAGGAGTTGGATGAAATAGAAAAGGATCTAATGAACAAGTTCTCTGTTCCATGAGCACAAAGTCAAAAGACTACACTTGGTACTGACCTTCTCAAGGAACACGATATATATCAATATATACCTGTTGATCAAGTTCATGAAGCACCTTCTCTTCCACCGACCATCGCTGAAAAGCAGCTTCAATCAAGGGAGCAGCCTCATCTTTTTGCCCTTTCCTGATAATACATAGTTTTGGCTAATTTTTGTAACTTTGTCTCCATTTCCTGCCTCTCCCTAATTGCTCGATCAATGCCCGCTCCATCAAAGTTTGTTTTGTTACTTTCTCCTGCGTTTGATACTGTTGAGTTAATCTGTAATCCTAACACTTCAAAATCATCCACCAATCTCACACACAACGCACACAAACAAAGAATGTAAAGAAATCAAGAACAAAGACACACAAATTTTTACCGTGGTTCGCTTATCCTATATAGGATAAACTACATCCACGTTGAGCTTAAGAAACTTAGGAGCTCGCTGCACTAAAGATTAATACAACCTGATACAAACAGATTAAACACTCAAACCCACTCTCAAATAGCGTATCTCACTCTCACAACAACCTGAAATCTTTCCTATGAGAACTCTAAATCAAATCCTCAAGACTCAAGGGAAACGGAACCCTTACAAGTGATTCAACCAACCACACAAAGATGCCAGCCAAGAAAAGAAACTGAACAGAGCAGATGTTCTTTACACAGAATACACAAAACTGAAAAAAATAAAACCCAGCAGCAGACTAAAACGCAGCAACAAGGTAAATTCATTTTTTGCATTCTGTTTGGGGTAGAATAAGTCCTGGCCGTTAGATGCTTTTCTCTTCAATGGTTTGGATTCAGTCTCTTTTAAAACAAGGATAAAACGGCTGCGTTGCACTAAAGATACAACGGCAATGTTTTTTGTGTGCTTCATTCTAACATTCTCCACCTTGAAGCTCCAAAAACACAAACACACCAAACAGCTTAGTCTAATTCTCTCTAGTGCAGCTACCTCCCAAGAATCCTTCCCAGCTCTGTTATTTGCTGCTTATTTTATAAACAGCAGGTTCAAACAGTGTTTGAACTTTGTGACAGTTACTACCTTTGTGCCCATGTCAGCTGGATTGTCCTCAGTTGATATCTTCTGCAAGTCTATGATTCCTTTAGCCACTAAATCCCTTACGAAATGATATCTAACATCCATGTGCTTCGTCCTTTCGTGGTAAACTAGATTTCTACTTAGGTGAAGTGCACTTTGACTGTCCGAAAACACTACTGTCTTCTCATCAATCGGCTCCATCTCAGATAGAATCCCCTTGAGCCATAATCCTTCTTTGAATACATCTGCTACAGCAATGTATTCTGCCTCGGTGGAGGAGAGGGCAACAATGGGTTGAAGCTGGGACTTCCAGCTTATGCAATTTCCTCCCAATGTGAAGTAGTATGAGGTAGTAGACTTCCTTGTGTCCCTGTCTCCTGCAAAATCAGAGTCTACATATCCCACAAGATCAAGTGAGTTTCCTCTTTTCTTATATTCCAGCCCAACATATATTGTACTATTAATATATTTCAGTAACCATTTCAATGCTAACCAGTGTTCTATACCTGGATTGGACATAAAACGACTAAGAAGTGAAATGGAATAAGATAGGTCAGGTCTGGTGCTAATCATGGCGTACATGATTGATCCTATCACATTGGCATAAGGAATTTTTTCCATCTTAATGAATTCAGATTCAGTCTTGGGACTTTGAGTCTTACTAAGTGTAAAATGGCTAGCTAAAGGCATGGATACTGGCTTGGAATCTGACATTCCAAATCTGGATACCAGTTTCAGTAAGTAGGAGGACTGCTGAAGTTTTAGTTCACAGTCCTCTCTTTTCCTGTCAATAACTATTCCTAGGATCTTTTTAGCACTACCTAAGTTCTTCATGTCAAACTCAGAACTCAGCCTAGACTTCAAGTCATTTATTCTGGTTTTAGATTTACTAATTAGCAACATGTCATCTACATAAAGCAGTAAATACACAGGCATACAAGAATTTAAATCATAGTAAAAACAACTGTCATACTCACTTCTTTTGAATCCTATACTGGTAATGAAGGTGTCAAACCTTTTATACCATTGTCTAGGGGCTTATTTAAGCCCATACAAGGATTTGTGTAACAGACAAACATGTTCAGGACAGTTTTTATCAATAAACCCCATAGGCTATTTCATGAAGATTTTTTCATCTAGATTACCATACAAGAAAGCAGTTTTAACATCTAACTGTTCTAGTTCTAGGTTTAGATGTGCAACTATAGATAGCATGATCCTAATGGTTTTATATTTGACTACAGGGGAGAAGATTTCATTGAAATCAATCCCTTCCCTTTGGGTGTAACCTTTTGCTACAAGCCTAGCTTTAAATCTAGGAGGGTCAGTAGAAGTCATACCTTCCTTTACCTTATACAGCCATCTACAGTCAATAAGCTTCTGATTTTGAGGACAGGGTATTAGGGACCAGGTCCCATTTACCTTCAAGGAGTGCATCTCCTCTTCCATGGCAGCTTGCCATTTCTCCCTGTCTTTGGACCTTATTGCTTCATCGTAGCTGTCTGGTTCAGTTCTTTGAATTTCAGCACCTGCAACCAAAGCTGTAAACACTAAGTCAGCATATGAGTATCTTGCAGGAGGTCTGATTTCTCTCTTGGTTCTGTCTCTAGTGAGTGGGTATTGTGCCAGTGACTCATGTTAGGGCTGTTCTGAAATTTCAATTTGATCATCCTCTGATTCATGTTCCAGATCTGAAATTGCAGGTGTTTGCTCTTGGTTTTCCAGTTCAATTTGAACTCTGACCTGCTCCACCTCAATTTGTGTCCCATTGTACTGATCTTGACTAATTTCCTCAGTGGTAGAGGTACCTGCAGGATTATTAGAGATTCTACAAGGAAAAAGATTTTCGTTAAAAATAACATCTCTACTTATAATAACTTTTACCCCTAGTGCCTCTCTTTCCCACAACCTGTACCCTTTAGTCCCCTCTTGGTAACCTAAGAATATACATCTCAAGGACCTAGGTTCTAATTTTCCCTAACTGGTGTGTGCATAAGCAGCACATCCAAAAGCTCTAAGGTGACCTAGGTTGGGCTTCCTATTAGTCCATTTTTCTTCTGGGAATGTGAAATTAATGGCACTATAGGGACTCCTATTAACCAAATAAGCTACAGTATTAAGGGCCTCACCCCAGAAGGATTTTGGTAAACCTGATGTGAACAGTAGACATCTAATTTTTTCTAACAGAGTCCTGTTCATTCTCTCAGCAACTCCATTCCGTTGTGGAGTCTTCCTCACAGTCCTATGTCTAAGTATTCCTTAATCACTACAGAATTGGTCAAACTCACTATTATAGAATTCTAGGCCATTGTTAGTTCTGAGAGCTTTAACTCTCCTATCAGTTTGGTTCTCTACTAATGCTTTCCAACTCTTAAACCTAGCTAGAGCCTCATCTTTGGTCTTAAGCAGATAAACCCAAACTTTTCTGCTATAGTCATCAACTATAGACAGAAAGTAACTACTTCCCCCATGTGTTTTGGTTTTTTCAGGCCCTTATAAATCAGCATGAAGATATTCTAGGATTGGTGGCTAGGTGGTTCCTTTCTGGAAGCTCACCCTATGTTGTTTCCTAATATGCATGTCTCACAAAAAATTAAAGTACGATAGAATCCTTACCAAACATACCTTGCTGGCTCAGAATGTTGAGTCCTTTTTGACTCATGTGGCCATTCTGAGGTGCCACTTTTCTGTAACAGTAAGATTAGTAGTGAACAAAGCAGATAACAAATTTGAACAGTAATTACCACACAGGATGTAGAGGCCATTCCGTTTGACCTTTCAGAAAGGTTCTTATTCTTATACACATTTAGGCAACCATCTCAGCCTTATAATAGCAACCTAATTCATCTAATGTACCTAGGGGAATCAAGTTTCTTTTCAGTCTGGTATATATCTCACCCTTGTTAATTTGACAGATTACCATTATCAAGACTTAGAACTATACTCCCATCCCTTGAACCTTGCAGGCATTATTATTTCCCATGTAAACGGTCTCAACTCACCAGCTTCAAACTCCTGAAACCCCTCCTATTGGGGCTCATATGGAATGGCACCAGAATCTAATACCCATTCTTCTACATTTTCAGACAGAAACAGTCAACACTTCAGATTCTTGGATTCAGTTTTACTAGAGGCTAGATTGCTCTTGTACTATTCTGTTTTTGCTTCTGATCCACTATAACAGTTTTCTTCAGGTGACTAGTCTTGTTACAGAAGAAACATTTTCTGTTCTCCTTTTCCCTTATGAGTATTCTTGTTTTTCTTTTTATTTCTAGAACCGGTATTAAATGAGAATTACCCTTAGACTGCCTAGAATCTCCCTTCCTTTCACAAACAGACTACTGTTATTTTCTTCTTGACCCTAAGCTCTAGTTCTCTAGCCTTTAAAACTGATGTAATTAGGTCTATACTAGGGAGTAGTGTGGCAATAGGGCATTCTTGACAACCATATATTCTTCAGTAATGGAATTTAAGAGAATCATGGCTAAAACGACTCACTGAGTTCTTGATCAGTGCCTGTGGTACAAGGGTCATTTTCAAGAACTCATCTAGGTTCTCTTCTATGGTCCTAGCACTATCATCTTATAAGAAAACAGTATACCTTTCAAATAAGCAAGATTAGGGGCAGATTGAAAGCATAGAGTGTTCTAGCTTACCCAGAGAGTTAACGGTGTCTTAGCACCATCTACCTTTGAGAACGTTGGCGGCCGAGTCATGACAATGAGATTGTACGCCCTCGTCAATTTCGGCTTTCTTTTTCAGCTTTTCCTCGGGCCATTTGGTCTGGTCCTTCTCCAGTGCGACTGCCCCTTGTTATGTGATAGAAGTGCCTTCATTTTCTCTTCCATGTGTGAAATAACTTTGCATCATAGTGGGTGGTTTCAACCGTGTGGTACTCATTCTGTGTAACTGATGGTAACGGTGTTTGATAATTTTCAGACAGATTGAAGAACAAGGGTTTCACTCGAATTTGTGGTTATCACAAGAAATTAAGGACTAATTTTAGAAGATTTCCTAACTATAGACCTCACTGAATCTTGAAATAAAGAAACTATCAAACCCTAATTTCAACAGTAAACCCTAAAATTGACAAACCCTAAATTGATGGCTCTGATACACGTGAGTTAATCTGTAATCCTAACACCAAAATCATCCACCAATCTCACACACAACACACACAAACAAGAATGTAAAGAAA